TAGCAACTCCGGGGGATAAAAATTGGATTTAGCATAATGCCGATCCCCCCAAAATAGGAGTCACATACACTTCCCTTGGGATAAATGTTACTAAGCCTAGATAAGTCAGGTGTTTGTCCTTACCGTCCTAAACGCCATACTCGCGACCAAGTAGTAATAATAATAATAATAACAATAATAATAACAATAATAACAATAATAATAACAATAATAACAATAATAGGTATATTATTCCATCTTCTATCATAGATTATAGACAATCATATTTTCATCATTTATTTCACACGATTAAACATCAATTACTATGACGAGCCAAAAAACTTTCTTTTCCACCTACAGGTACAAAAAGGAAATAATTAAAGATCGTAAAATAGGATCGTAATCTTAAACTTCTGAAATGTGTATAAAACACTTAGGCCTTGGCTGTGTAAATGCTATGCCATTCAGGCAAAGAGAGTAAAATGATATGCGTTCATGTTGAATCCGCTGCTTCGTCCATTCGAAGGAGTAGGAAGAGGGCAAGAAAGAGGAGAAGGACGGAAGGAGAAGGAAGGAGGAGAAGAAATCGAGGAGTGGGAGAAGAAGGAGAGGAGGAGGGGATGTTGGAGAAAATGAGATGAAGATGAGAAGGAGAAAGAGGGGGGAAGGAGAAGAAAAATAAGACGGAGGAGGAAGACGAGGGGACGAGCAGGAAGGGAGGAGGTTGAGTGGACGGGGAGAAGGACAGGAGGAGCAAGGAGTAATAGGTGGGAAAGAGAAGGAGAATAAGACGAAGAAGGAGGAGGAGGAAGTAGAAGAGATGAGTAGAAGGATGGAAGAGAAGGACGGGCGGAAAAAAAGTAGAGGAGGGAAATAAGACGAAGATGAGGAGGAGAAAGAGGAGGAAAGGAGGAAAAAAATGTTGAAAATAAGACGACGAATGAGTAGGAGGAGAAAGAAGAGGGGAGGAGGGTGAGAGAAAGAGGAGAAGGGGAAGAGGAGTGCAAAAGGAGAAACAGGTGGGAACGAGGGGGAGAAAAAGACGAAGGAGGAGGAGGAAGTAGAAGGGAGGGCGAGAATGAGGTTGGAAGAGAAGGTCGGGAGGAGAAATTAATACGAAGATGAGGAGGAGAAAGAGGAGGAGAGGAGGAAAAGGAGGCTGAAAATAAGACGACGAGGAGTGGAAGGAAGAGAAAGAGGTGGGCTGGAGGATGGGGGAAGAGGAGAAGGAAAAGTGGAGGAGTGCAGGAGAGGAAAAGACGACAAAGGAGCGGCAAGAGGAAGAAGTGGAGGGGACGAGTGGGAGTGGGAGGAGGAGAACGAGGCGGGGTGGAGGATGAGGGGAGGAAGAGAAGGAGAAGTGGAGGGGTGGAGGAGTGGGGGGGGGAGGCTCACCCTCGCACGAGTCCCAGAAGAAGCGGCCGCTGCGGCGCGCGCGGGCGCGCTCGTCCCCGTGGCGCGAGCGCGTCTTGCGCCAGAGGCGGTCCGTGGTGTGCGTGTACTCGTAGCCGTCGGGGTTGGCCACGGGCAGGATGTACCAGTCGGCGGCTTCGGCCACGCGCCGGTTCACCTTCACGTTCTCCACCAGCTGCTTCAGCGCGTACAGCGCCACCGCCGGCGCGATCCACTCGCGCGCGTGCATCCCTGCGCAGCACACGCACACGCATGCGCGGATTAATGTCTCTCTGAGCACGACAGTTGCTATGGTCATTAGTCGCGTTTGTGCCGGGAATAGGGAGAATTCGCCTGCCTTAGTGCGCAGCAATCTCGATTTTCTGCGCATGCGCAGATGCCCAAAAGGGATGCGACATTTAAACTACACATGCGCAGAAGATCGATAATGCTGTCTGCCATGGCATACAAAAACTCGACTGACATCTGGATCTTCTGCGCATGCGTAGATGTACAAAAGGTATGCGAAACTTCAACTACGCGTGCGCACCCGCACACGCGCACAAATTAATGTCTCTGAGCACGTCAGGTGATATGGTCATTAGTCGCGTTTGTGTCGTGAATAGGGAGGTTTTGCATGCCTTAGCGGGCAGCAATCCATTGTAATCTCGATCTTCTGCGCATGCGCAGATGCACAAAAGGGATGCGAAACTTCAACTACGCGTGCGCAGAAGATGAATGGTCTTTTGAATTGCTTTAACTCGGATGCAACAAATCACTACTTTTGTCCATCTGCGCATGCGCAGAGGATCGAGATTGCAGTCGATTGCTGCCCGCTAAGCACTATCGATCGTCTGCGCTATCAAGTTTCACATCATTTTTGAGAATCTGCAAATGCGCAGAAGATCAACAGTGCAGTCCGCTATGACGTGCAAAAACTCCCTATGGTTTTATTTCGGGATGTGGCTTTAATTTCTTTCCCCACTAGTTAATGAGGTCCGGATCCGACCCACAAGTCTTTTCGCGGGAGATTTTCCTTCCAGGAGCCTGCTCCCACCCTGCTCCGACCCATCCCGGCCCAGGGCACCACACCAAGGATCTTGGCTCCCGACAGGACTTCCGACATGGTATATGAATTTGAATTTGAAATGATGTCTTATTTTACGTGGCGAAACTCACGCCATCAGGCCCGCTCTTCCGTCTGACCAGGCAAATTTCGCTACTCTCCTTTAACCCACTAGCGGAGAAAGGAGGTATGTCTTGGTGGTGCATTTATGAAAGTGTAATATCTGGCGGTGCATATAATGTAAGTAAGTTTGTGTAAGAGTAAAGAATGGGAGAAGGAGGATTGATTAGTGTTTCCGGACAATCAACCGATTACTCCCGTAAGTGTAGTGTGTGATTTTAACGCGAGTGGTGGCGGTGATCTTCCACTGCTGGATGGTGATATCCGGCGACGACCAACACGTCAGTTTACGAGAGATGTCCCTCTCCAGGTATCTCCAACAGCGGGGCACCTCTCCAGCCGGGACAAGCACTGGGCTCCCGACTGGTATCTCGGCGTGCGTGGCAGTATAGTGCAAGTAAGAGTGTGTGTGGAAGAAGGTAGTATAGGACAAGGAAGTTGAAGTAAAGATCGCGCGCGGTCCGTGGCCTGTTTTTTAGGATACTGCTCTGGTATTCGCCCGGTGTTGATAGAAAAAAAACACGGAAAACTCTTGATCAGAGCCGCTAGAATTCTCGTGCAGTCAGCGGCTAAATGCGACTTAGCTTTAGTGCTAGTGTCGAAATTTCGTCTTCCTCGGGGTTTGAACTAAGACCTCCCGATCAGAATCGCTGCAGGATCAGCAGCATAAGAATACAATGCGACTCAAAAATGAAACTTAAATACTGATATGTACCAGTAGCATGCTTCAAGGTTTCTTTTAAGTTTCACCCCATATTCTGTTTACATTATTATAATTTTTCTTACCCTCGAATCTCAATTTTTTGTCAAACAAGTATTGATAAATAATAAAAAAGAAATTGTTGTATTATAGATGTTCTGAACAAATTCTGCCATCGCAGCTCGGATACTTCCAGTTAGAAAGCAACGTACAAATATTCTTTTAACACTTCGCATGCTTCTTGATTGTCTTATGATGTACTGAACTTTTAACCCCAACAATAAAACATGCGCTCGCGGACACACATGTTTACATAGTATTAACCCTGGCATTACCAAGTGGGGGAAGGGGGCTCAAAACCCATCGATGATTTTTTTTATTGGTTTCAATGTTTTTAGGAAGCCGAAAGTCATTGACATTGTGTAACTTACGTCTTTTTTGTTAATATTATGATGCAATTTATTGCTAGAGTTTGTTATGATTTGAAGAATTACTGGATTCTGGCTATGGATAAAAAGTTCGGGGATGTTCATCCGAAAACTGAAAATTCAGAATAGATTGGGATAGATTTGTAGTATTTTGGGATTCATTATTATATTCTTTAACTGGTTTGCTGAGCATATTATAACGTATTAGCCAGCGTGCCTCGTGGCATCTATTTGGGGACGCTTGGAAACGGATTAGTGAGAGTAAACTCCTCGCCACAGAAAGGAGAGAAGGCTTTTTCCTTAAAGCAAGAACGCGGAAACGGGAGACACAAGGCTTTGGGGTCTTCCGGTCTTAAGAA